GTCGAAGTGATGCTCTGCGAATCTTGGTTCAGAAAGGAGCGGATGTGAATGTGGAATCCTGTGAGGGACTTACTCCCATCCATCTTGCCACTCAAAATGACCAAGGTTCTATACTGGAGGTATTGATTCAGATGGGAGGTGATGTAAATGCAACAGACAATGAGGGCCAGACAGCACTTCATCATGCAGCTAATTCCTGGAACAATCATGGGACATATAGCCCAGGGTGCAATGAAATTGCGAGAAGACAAGGTGTAGATTTAGCGTGGTTGCTCTTGCGGAACGGAGCAGCACTTGATCAAAAGGATGACGCTGGATGGACGGCAATGGATGCCGCCGTTATGAAAGGCCGGATTGGAATGGCTAGAGCTTTGCTTATGGCACGGACATCGGGAGGTATTGAGAATTTTGCAAGTAGTTTGCCGGAGTTATATGAAAACCTTGAAAGAATTGATAGTGGCTATGATGAGTATTATTTTAATTAACTCGGCAGTTGGTCTACCGGAACAGCGGGTGCTATCCTGTATGGTATGAGCACCTACCTTTTCATTTGAGTGTGCTAATCGAGATAGTCTTCCCTCAATGCAATACCTTACATAACTCATCGATGTCCAACCAAAAGTAGCTTCCTAGAGACCAAGCATGAAACTGTGGTGGGTGATTGAGCTAGTGGGGGTGGTCAGCAGGGAGGCCTCAAAGATAATGATTCTAGTGTTATAGTCTAAAAGTCATGAAGGCGGGTTTGCGAGGCACTCATGTAGGGCACATTGAACTCCATGGTTTAAATAATGTAACTGAAGCCAAACATAGGCGCCAGTTGATACACACGAATTTTGCATGTACAGTGAAAACAGTTTCTTTATAGCCAATGAATCATCTTGAATGGCTTTCAAGTCCCCTTGAAATGTTCAAATAGAAACTAATTTGACTAGATACTCACTATATAACCATCTGCTCATACGCTAACCTCTTAAACTTCTATCAACAACACTATCCAACTTTCTAAACGCACGACATCTATCAAACCCAGTCTCATAACATCTGATATCAACAAACCACCTGACATCATTCCCATATCCTAACATGTGGTACTGCCCCCGGGCATGGTGTGGCACGATAAATCCCGACACGCGGGCGTATTGCATACGTTGTGAACGTGCAAGGCCAGATTCGAAACCTAGGTTGGCATCATGGCAAGATTGCGAACACAAAGATGTTTGTACTGCCATCCACCCGAAGGAGCCAAATCCTAGTCATGATTAGTAAACTCACACGGGATTTTGATTTCGAGTTGCTAGGATTGGATACTTCAGTTTGAATTTGTTTATATGTTTAGTCTGTTTAACCAGCATAACTGTAACGGGTGTGATTGTATGTGGAATATGAATTTGAAATCTCAGTGTCTCAGCAGGTCAGGCTTTGAAAGTGTCAGTAGCTTGATGGTACTATAGTACCTATTAGTTTGGAATATGTTACAAGTTGCTAGGCTCTTACTTTGTTATGAATGGATCATGTAACATCACTTTTCCACACTTCTGATCACTCTGTCACGCATATACTTAGATGATCAGGCTCAGTAGGGCATACAGATACGAGCTTTGATGGATGAGAATCTACGTATACGTGCGCAGGCCTACTGTATATATGACCTTCTGTAGCCTTGATAGATACATCAATAATTCAATCAAGCATCTATTGTAATAAAAAACACACAGTAATCGAGTGATAATTCATGTAAGGATCTCTTAACGTACAGGAGGTATTTAGGACAAGTGTATCATGTTGTGCAAGCCCTTCGGAAGATAGAGCGTCGGTCATGTAGTATAATGTCTTCGGTTTCAAACCATGTTTCGAATGAGCTTTAGACATCGGCTTCATCCTGGCTCAATTGCCCAATGTCGTCGGTTAATGCCCACCCACTGCGAAAATTTCGGTTTGGAGTACACTCCCGGTAAGAGCTAGAACCATGTCCTGATAATATGTAAAAGCAATTATCTGTCTGTGAACATTTAGTCCTGTATATGACATTTCTCCCGCATGCGGAATTAACCCGATGATATATACACAAGGATGTGGACGGGGGACCACAACTACACAGATGGCAATTCAAGATGGGATGGTGTCAATCAACCTCCCCTTAGCTTCGTATTTGCCGAAATAGTGGGTTAAAAATCTCACTTTCTGCGATAGTTCTCCAAACTGCTGCTATACCCGATCTTGGACCCGCTGAAAGTTCGCGGGGACTCCTCGTTTCTTTGAATTTTATTGGCACGAACGATAGTATATAAAGGTGTACATTTGCCAGATCATGGCTAAGTGGATATCACGATACATACGGGTGTATGGAAGAATAAACATGTTCCGTGTTTTAAGACGCTACCACGGGAACATGTTTTCTAGATTACATTCTTGAACATTACATCCAAACTTACATCTCCCCATTAAAAGCTTCAAACAGAAAATTGTTCCCCATCTCTACATAAACCTCCTCTAGTATCTCCTGACCTCACCAACAACTAATCCCCAAATTCGAGACACAACATCCGCAGTCTATCCGAACTCATTCCAGGCTTATCCTACCCAAATCAAATTAAGCGAAGCGATTGTTGCACCACGGATCATCATAAATCGATTAGACAGTCAGCCAGATGCCCTGGTACTGTGTCTTTTGCGCGGGGACGAAGGGCAGCGGGTGGGAGCTCCGCCATCTAGCCGGCTCGCCCGGAGGCGGAGGTGTTTTTAGGCTCTGTCATACTCTAGCTAGAGTGAATACAGTATGAATAAAGAACAACAACTGTGTCTTTTGCAGCACGAAGAATCCGGGCGTTCGGGCCGAAAGTGTTCGGTGTGGCCGGACTAAGGCTCAATCCGGGTGGCGCAAACCCAACACTGAAAAAGAGTCGGTTAGGAACGGGCTGACGTCATGGCCGAAGAGGTATTGCGGGACGAGGTATGTATACTTGGGTTTCTTGGCTTGATATTGGCAGGTCATTAGCGGGTACATCAACCCCGACGGCATATGATACGGCTGTCGCATGGTTTACGGATTGTGTATTTGGCGCGACCGAACTTAGGGAATTAAGTTTTCTACCACGAACTCTGCCGGCATGCCACTGTGGCTGTTGTTCTGTAGTAGATACTTGTAACAGTAAAACTGCGTGCTGCATAGTAGACCTGACAGGAGCTGACTGTAAGCTGGGGAGCACAAGGCACATAACTCGCTTATATATATCGTGGGTCTTTCTCCTCCTCTCCCTCTACACTCTGTACCTTAGTCTATGCACACGATTATCCCCTCCATATCGCAACACTGTTTGTTCAACTTTAGAGTGCAGACGAAGCCTATTGGTCTCTCCAAATGTAGAACCTGTGCCTTATATGCATGGAAGAGAGCCGGAGATCCGGAGATCCCGTCGAAGGCTGATGGAGCAGCGATCAGAGTGGCGATCGGAGCGGCGAGTGGAGGTTGGTGGAATGTAAGTGGCAAGAGTGAAAATTCATGTAGGAGTATACCTACTGTTTAGACAACTCCCGAGACTTCTCTAGACCTGGTTCTGGGCGTTACAGTAACACTGCGGTCTAATGTCGATCGAGTGACACGGCATGAATTGTCTATCTGTAATCCCTATATTTACAGCGATTTTACTGACAATACACCATTAAAGCGAGATAAACTTAGCATTTGACAGCCAACAATGTCCAATGTACAATCTGTAAAGAAATTACAAGTCGGGTATTTCCTGTATGGCGGTGCTTAAGGTTGAAAACATTTCTTGACGCGGGGGCTATTTGACTAGAGAGGGAAGCGCAATACATCTAACTAATGCGTGACGTAGCCCAGATCAACGGTATACCCTATCAAGCATGATCTACCATTGGATACGGTATTATCAAATTCGAGAAACCTGCCCACGTTATAATTTTGTCTTTTCGGCTACGGACAATATTAAGGTATTTTCCCAAAAGCTGGTAAACACACCTGCTGAATTAACCTCGGCCGAAATTGCCGAACTCGACTAAAGATCGCCCCACGTTGCTCTGAATTGTATTTGGCTGCAAGTTCCACGTCTTGGATATGCTAGAAATCATTGTGACAGGAAAATAATATAATTGAAGACAAGTGCTACTGACGATATTGTAACAAAAGGCTGATATAGCAGCTAATAAAGCCCTGGCCTAAAGGCTCAAAAATATTATTACGCGCATCGCTCTCATCATTTTCTCTCCTGTAGGATCAGAGCTGCGATTTAAATACGAATTCTGGCTACGATATGTTTATTGGCAATTGTTACACATGGCATCCTCGACGTGATTGAAGTTCTGATGACAAGTTACAGTGGTCGATATTCTTCATCGTTTATAAGTCTGCCAAGAATATCTCCTCAACGGACAAGATTTTCCGTGCCCAGGTGCTCTGCTCTAGCTCGTACCTCGCTGTCTGTGGGGTGGCGTAGCACATGAGTCGAACACCCGAGCCTGCGAGGATTTGAGGCTCAACAGGCGCGCCACGCCATCTGCCTAAGTCTGGGCACGAGAAAAACGGACAAAGTGAAATGCGTGGGGGACAACATCTGAACATGAAGAGAGGATCAAGGTCGTAGTAATGTAGAACGTTAACCAGTTGGGCCCACTGTTGGTTTAAAAATCGGACCGTAGTGGGGCTCCAGGGAAACGGAAGCTACCCGATCACATACTTGGTACAGGGAGAAAGTTTTGAGATGCATGAACCAAAAGAAGCCAAAAGTTAAGTACACTTTTGCTGGATATCCCGCCGAAGAATACTTGTGAGAAAGTAAAAAATGGCATCTGTATCTCAAAACTTTCTCCCTGCCCCGAGTACCCATTGCAGGGGTTTGCAGAATAAACAATGCTAATGCTATTGCCATGTAAACAGCAGACTTGTAACAACTGAAGCACTGTTTGTGCATTTTGCTAGTGTTGACTGTGATGAGAGCAAATCAGAGGGAAAGAACGTAAGAATGTTGAGCCACAGAAAAGAATGGATTGGCTAGGAGTCGAACCTAGGACCTTCCTCTGCTAGACAGATGCTCTACCAATTGTGCTACCGGCCCTTGATACATGTGAATTGACACGTTCCAACAAACTGAAGTGAATTGTGATTACTTTTTTTTTTAACAATCCTTTCGGTCAATTATATTGTTCCATGTTCTGGCACGCACTGTATGTAATGTAATCCATAGACTTGCGCGCAAAATCTGTACTCTTGAAAGATACTGCCTCGAGTAAGATAGCCAAGCATGGCGGGCAGCGGGCCTGCGTTTGTTGTTTGTAATCATATTGTATTCGGCCACTAATGGCCATGACATAATTCCATTTTTCCCCGGTATTTCAACAATGTGAGCCCTCTTATCTCCACGTCGTACCATCCCTTATTACCTCTACCACACCTCCCCACCCTTTTCCACCAATCGTAACCCTTTCCCTTTCCCACCATACCGCCTATCCTCCCTACACATGCTGGGTATGTTATCGCAGTGGAATACCCCAACCGACCAATCCTAGATCGTTACCCCCCTCCCTTTAATTGGTCACCGAGATCGACCAACATATGTCGAAAGAACAGAAGGCTTGTTGAGAAAGGTTGCGCACCGGGGGGCGGGTACTGGAATTTGAACCCATAGTATTGTGGCTGTATACCCCGCTGATACTTTCAGGAATGATACCACTACGCCACAGGGCTAGCCCCTGGCGATTAATCCAACGAGTACAGTAGTGAATGATGAAACATGCATGGATGAAAAATATGCGGAGCTAATGCGCCAGGCAATGTAACAATAAGACGGTTAAATAGAACTCGTTATCTCTGAGGATGGATGATTACAATGTGGCACAATATGTGAAAGTTATTTCAAAGATTTTCCATCTCAACTTCCGTTTAACACCCAATTGACCGTTTCACTGCATCAACGCCAGCAACAGTAACAGAAACAACTTTCTTCCCAACAACCCACAACCATTCGTACAGTGTGTTGAAACCATCTGTAATGTTATGTCCATAGCTTGTAAACCGTTGTACGTTTTCCTCATCTCCCGGATACTACAGTCGCCATTAATATCAGACCAAGTTATATTCGGTGCACAGACAAACTGACCGTCTTCCGTTTATAATATTGGAGAGCTAAATGCAAAATCGCAACAACTAGGGCTCCTGAACCAATGACAACTTGTGCAACTTCGGCTGATGTCCACCCTGCAGGTTGTAGCGTTAGAATTGTCGTGGCACTGTCAGCAGAGGGCTTCGGGCTTCGGGCTGAGCCCTAGATATGCCTGTTGCAGTTGGGTGTAACGCCATGTGATGTGTAGGCCAGGGTGACAACATGTAACTCAAAATTTAAACTTAGGGTTGGGAAGTTGAATATACCATCATGGTTCCAGAGTTTCTGGTCTTCCTGCACAGGAATTTTAACTACTTTGCTTTCCATTTTTCTGGTGATATTTTGGTAGTAGAAGTGGGCGGAACAGTGCGAAGTACTCTCGTATGATTTAGACTAAAATCTGTGGAAGTCGAAAAGTAATCTTAGCGTGAATGCGATCAATGAAGGTAGGCAAGGCAAGTGCCCAATTGGCACCACCGTGGAATAAAGGTTAGCCTTTCAAACCTGACAAATCAATGAACCCCTAATAATAGAGTAGGATAATATTTTTGCAGAGTTGATAAGTGATGTGCGGGGAACAATAATCTAATTGTTGTTGGCGGGTGCATCGAGGCGAAGCACAGACAAAGTAGAATGGAAACCAGCAGAAAGAGAGGAAGCTCTCTTACACATAAATCTTACTTTGTTAGACCTTATGATCGATCTATCGGTCAATAGGATTGGCCGGTGGCAGTGTGGAACGAGTAGAAACTGTGAAGGAGGCTGTGCAATGAAATGGTTGTCACGAAAGACGTATACGGCCCAGTATCTCTTGCTGGTGCGGCCCTCTTCAAGGCAAGGGTGAAGGCGGTGTGACATCTCACTAGTGCCCTCTCCTTTCAAGGACTGCGTGGTGAGGCGTAAAAATTTTTTTCTGCGCACCATGGTTTGTGATTTTTTCACCAATCAACATAAGATACGTCTTCGTATTCCATCCAACTGCAGGCCGCCACAGTGTAACATACTCCGCCTTAAATTTGGCCTCAATATCCACTCCCACCGTCAGATCCAGCAGAAATACCACGACATGTCTCTTATCACTGTCATCGAAGGAAGAAAGCATCTTGCAATTATAACACATCTTGTTTGATTTCAGAAGTGGTCTTCAGATAATTAATGTACTCTTATGTATCGATAATATCGTTCACCACGGTGGAAATAGTTGAATGTCAAAGTTAAGCTGTCATGCATGCACATTGTCACAAGAGCTCGCTAGCCTGCCAGACAAACATGGATTAGAAAAGGGTCAAGGCACATACGCGACGATCCGCCATCCACCAGTGGATTGGCTCGGGTTGGGCTTTCTTTTCAAATGGCAGCTGAAAGCGTCAGTATTCTGCATAGCCTACCTAACTCGAACAAAACGGACAAGAGTCCCCAACTTTTGTACCATATATCCTATGTGTCTTTGGATGATTGGCATTATGAAACAAATCGTGTTTGCTATACGGGCGCAACTTGATAACATTTACACAGTACTGCATGCCGCGCGTTCGTATCAGCGCTAATGCAGCACACGAACCATGCATGGTCGGAACTGTTACTGTAAATAGACATTTGTGCGTGCGGGCAGCCCTGCCCTAGTGACTGCTTCTGGAGATGGCCCGAGCTTCTCCGCTCGGACTTATACATATACGGATTCTCTCCTTCTCTCATAGATAATCAAGTCATCTTCTCTTCATACAAAGTAACAGGAACCCATGATAAAGTTTTCGGCCGGGAGAATCCGAGTTACTTTGTATGTCCGCAGCGCGGGTAAAACATATAAACGGTTTCTATCCGTTGAAATCAAACGAGATGGTGGTATTTTAAGTGTCGAGCGAGTTTAAGTGGAAGCAGGTGATTCCGAAAGCATATGTTAAAAAGAAAATAATCTATTCAGCCGCTCAGTTGATTGTAATAAAAAGTCCCTTCACAATAGCAGTCAGTGAAAGTAATACCCAAGGACCTTTTGTAAGAGGCACCTAGATGATTTGTTTTACATACGCAACACCTGATCTGTCAGTTCATCAATAATTAGATCGAAACACAACAGCTAAAAACTGCCCCGAAGAGTACTTCAGTAGAGGTATTGAATGGTAAACGCCTAACTGCAATTATCTTGATTGTCCTTGGTCTCATTGATTAACAGCCACGGCCGTACATCCAAAATTGCGCTTAACTACCATTGTTATAGGTAAGGCTCAACTACAGACTCCAAGCCTTTAACTAATAGTTTCACAGCGAATCTGGCCGTTACACAAGCCCCATCGCTGCAATACGCTACGCCTTGGTCGCAGCATTAGACTTCGGCCGAAGTGGTAACCACCGTCTTCGGAGGAGGGGAATTATTCGTGGCAATTTTGTCTTTGGTATCAAACATTATGCACCGGTAGAAAATCGTTGCTAAAAGTTCAATGGCATGAGTCCTCACTATCCATTTATAAACCGAATCATAATTATTACCGAACGATTCTTTATGTCATAGGAGATCAATAAGGCCGCACAGTGACGGGATTTAATCAACTGTGCTTCGAAATGGTGGAAAAGAGGTGTGGACTTTATTTATGGCTTCTTCCGTGCAACCAGGGATGGTTTAATTTCGCGAGTAACCGTGCAGATTGACTACCAGCTTATATCCTGAAGATTAAGGTACTCTGTACTGGGGGTTGGAGGAGCAATGGAATGGGCATTATTCTCTGCCGCACTGCCAGCCCGGGAGTGAGGGGAATACCTCGGCAGTGAGGATGCTTTGAGCATACGCCTGAGTATGGCAGCCTTTTTCCGCCAAAATATCCCGTGGTACCTGAACAAAGTCTGAATTTTTATGACCTCGTTGTACTAATATTAATGTTTGTAACTCATTAACGCTTGTTAATTGCTTCCAAAATCACGAATATACCCATACTCACTACGCAGATATTTTACACTGCAATCCCATATTAAATTTCCTCTAGCTATGACTCGAAGTCTTTCAAGTGAAAGAATAAACGGGATCATAGGTCGGTTCTTCTTTCTCATTTGCCCATTGCGAGAAACCTAGAAAAAAGATATGAACCGTTTATATTGTCGATCAAGCGGTTAAGTAACATCCGTTAGTCAATTGGATGGTAGGAATGGTCAGCATAGCTCTTTCGCAATCAGGAGTCGCGTTTCGTTTGTTTTAGTGCGTAGAAAGGGATAGAAAGATCAACAGCTTCCCAACCCCTGCGATGGGAAAGCGGGTATACCGTACAATCTGATGGTATCCAGTGAATTTGTACCACCGCAGGTGACATATACGCGACCCCAATAACGCCTTCTATTCTCCCTAAAAATTTCACAGTACTATACATGGAGTCCCAAAATTAGCAATTCAAATCAACGTATCGGGCATCCTTCTGGGGTAAAAATAAACTAGATATCGTCAGATTGTAAGGTATGTAGCCGCCACACGGCAGTGATGGAACTGTCCTAGTATAAAAACTAGGCATCTTGGGATAGTTCTCTTGCCGTTGATAAAAACTTTGAGATATTACCCTATGCTTGGTGCTGGGTTCCCAACCGTCCGCGGCGACTGGTGTCTTTTTGGGCCCGAGAACGTTGTCCGTGGCAGGACAGTCATGTATATGGCCTAGGCCATCTCGGGCAGATGATTATATCCCTAAGAACCGGTAAGGATACTGAAGTGTTCGGCGGAGGATCCCGAGGAAGATGTCATCGGTTGTTGGCAGCGTTAACACGCTGGAGGCAGAAAATCGAGATGTATCCAAGCGAAATGAGATCGGATGCGTTGATGCCTACTGATCAGCAGCCGGATTTGCTGATGCCCAGTGATCCACAGCTAGTCGATCCTGTCACCATGCCAGAGACAAATAACCAGCCAAATTCCCCCTCTCACATCGTGTTATAGTCAATCACCAGTAGTCATTCAGGACTTCCGGACGAGAACCATGAGA